AGAGTGATTGTTTCCCTTCCATTTCCAGCCCTTAGCCCAAGGAGTAGCTTCAGTGTGTACTCAATACATGCTCTGAATGGACGAAGGGACAAATGGCCACTGATCTCCTACATGTGGGGTTGTAGTATTGGCATGTAGCTCAGAAGCTCCAGAGGGAAGTGTGGGAAGCAGGACATTTTAACCAGCAGAGATGTTCAGGAATAGAACAGACATCCTAACAAGGCCATGGCTCCTGCCACTGTGTTGACTAGGCTAAGGCTGGCTTACTCCAACTGGGTTCCATGGCCTTTGTTGGGAAGCATGGACTGACTAGAAGACACAACATTACTTTGAAGCTAAAGTTCACTATCCCCGGTTTGCCTGGAACTGGAGTCAGGCAAGCTGTGGCTCCTTTCCCCCAGCCATAGAGAAGCCCTCACTGCTGGGTGGTGGTGAAAGCTCTCCAGACACCTGCCTGTAGGGATGCTCAAGTCAGGGTCACACACCTCCATTACCACAAGAGGGCGCCTTGGGCTTAGACTTTCCCTAAGGATACACGTGAGCCAAGAAGTGTTTACCTGCTCAGAGCCAGTAAAGGGCTGACCGAAGCAAAGTTCTGTTGAAGTACAATTATAGTGGCCAGACCAAGGTGCATTGCTGGTCCCAAGGTCAAAAACATTTATTGAAAAACAGTTGTCATGCTGTTTTAAAATTAAATACTACTATTATCTATTATTTGGAAGCTTCAAGTGCAAAATGGACAAGGAGATTATGTGTATCCCCCATAGATATAAGTGAAGGCTGAGTACTGGGTAGAGTGGAATGTCCAGGGTTGAGAGCTCAGCATTAGGGATATTGGGGGCAGGGAATAAATAGCTTTGCATCCTGACTCCCATGTCCTCTCCAGTCTAATCCCCAGAAACAGTTGCTTTATCCTGGCTCCCCAGAGCACCTCTCACTTTATTACCCCAACACTAACACCTCTACTCCTATTCTGCAATATTCCTCCTGGTAGTGGTTGTAAGATTGCCTCTGAGGTGTGTTTTTTTTTTAGAGAGAGGCCGAGGAGTTCTTCCTGGTTTCTACTTGTTTTCATGAGCCCTTTTGAGAAGCCTGAGCTTGGGTTCACTTCCTGTGGTTTCCCCAAGGCAGGGAGCTGACCCCACCATTCACCATATGCTCTATGTCTCACAGTTTATCTGGCACACAGAAGAAGCTAGAAGGGACTTATTGCTTGGTGGCCTTCCAGGATGCCTTGCTCTCCACCCTCTTCCCAGCTCTGACAACTCAATATGGCGGACATGATAGGAAATGAAAGTGGGAAACAGGCCTGTAGCTAAGAAGCCCACTTTGGTCAGGTGGGAAACAGAGCTGGGGGCTCCCCTCCCTCCCCTAAATACCTTTCCCAGGACTATAGATCATTTCCGGCAATGTGTCTGGAAAGGGAAGCTTGATTCCTGAAGATTTCTAGAAATGGCCTGTGGAGCTAGTGACTTTCTAAAGGTGAAGCCGAGAGGCTCAGATGTTATCCCCAGAAGACCAGAAGGACCTGGGGAGGACCCTGAATTGATCACAGTTTCAGGACCACAGCACCCTGATGTAAGGCTTTGTTTATTCCCTGAAAAAGTCTTCCAGTGGTTTGAGTGAGGGTAGGGGTAAGGGAGGCAGGAGAGATTATTTGCATTTTATTTGCATATGGCTCTTTTGACGTCCAAAGGCACTGAAATTTCTTATCCTTGATTGTTTCAACCTTCCCCCCCACCAACCTTTCCTTTTTAACCTCAAGGCAAACCACCCTCTCTCTCTCTTTTCCCCACAGTTTTTCCTCTCCCAGGCTAAATACAGACCTGGAGTATTCGGCTTTGGGAGCTGGCACCTTCTCCACCACCTCTCATCTGCCCAGAACTCTAATAGCTGATTTCATGGACACTAAGTACTGGGGGGAAGGAGAGATAAAGGGGTCTTTTGAGTTCATCCAGTTGACATTATCATCAAGCAAGTCAGAGAAAGAACTAAAAATTGTCCATCCTTGCTCCCAGCCCCATACACAGGTACTGCAAACCCACTCAACTTTTTAAGACTCAGGAAAAGCATGTGAAGGAGGGACAGAGAGAGTGGAAGGGTCTCTGCTCTGTCATGTGACCTTGGGCAAGTCCCTTCTCCTTGAACCTCCTGTTCTTCATATGAATGATATCTAGATTCTTTTCACCTCAAGTTATACATTCATGGTAGAGAGAAGAGAAGGGGAATGAATCTGAGGCTCAGGCATAACTGGAGGCAGGATTAAAAGTACCAGATTTGGAGTCAGGCCCACCTGGTCTAAATTCCAGCTCTGCCATCTACTGGCTGCATTAACTTCCCTAAACCTTAGTTTTCTCCATAAAAGGAGCAACAGATTATACGTTCCTTCTAAAGTTGTGCTGACTAAATAATAATAAGTATGTCTAGCATGTAGCACCTTTCCTGGCATATATAAGGAGATGTAAAGTCAATGTTTATTGAATGAATGAAGGAATGAGTAAATGAAAGAAGGTGAGGTAATGTGGGCCACCCTTCCATCTCCCCCCCACCCCCGCCATGTCTGAAATCCAAAGCTGTACTTCCAACTGTGAACCTCCAAGGTCCCATCTCTGTCCCAATGAGCACCATCCCCAAAAGCTCCAACCCACCCCCATCCTCAGGACCCCAGAATCCTAGGCCACTGGAGCTGGAAGTCCCTTGGAAACCATTAGGTACATGATCCTCTGGTTGCTGGAAAACTAAAGCCCAGAGAAATAATTTAACTTCACATATGGAAAAGAGAAACAGGTCCCAGATATTGTAGGTAGAGAATCAGACCCTCCAGTGCACACAGCCATGCAAATGCTTTGCAAATAGAGATATGGAAGTCACAAGCACACTGGGGTATTTATATAAACTATGTACAGTCCTTTTTCTAGGATGATGGCAGATGAAGTGCAATTGTAGATAAGAAATTGACCTAAGGGCAGGGGCCAAGCCTGAAGTGAAGGGAAGGGAGAAGAGAGAGAAGAGGTGGTGAAGGGAAGGACAGGCTGAAATCGTCCTGAGTAGAGCTGCCTGGGTTCCCTTGATTAATCTCATCCCCTAGTCAGAAGAAACATGAAAAATGTCTCCTCTTTTTTCCTGGAGTAGGGGAAGAGAATGCATTGTGACTGAGGAAGGGTGGTTTGTATGGACTTAAAGATGCACTTATTAGGCACTTCCTGTTTCTCCAGGGCTACTGTGGCACTCACTGAACGCTTTCTGATACCTGTTTTGTACCCAGCACTGTGCTCACTGTGCTTGTTGTTATGGGGTCACTAATTAGTTAACCATGAGGTAGGATAAAATAAATCTCACAGAACCCACCATGAAGGCTACTAAAAACATTGAAGTGTCACAATAAGTTAGTGAAAGACCAGATCACTTCCAACTTTAGAAAAGAGGTGGCATTTGAATTGTGCATAGAGGGAGTAAAGGAGTAAAGTGCAGTGCTTTTGAACAGAAGCCCTAATACTTTAGTGGCTGTGTAACATTGGGCAAGTTAAACTCATTAAGCTTCATTTGTTCCATCTGTTAAATGGAAAATAACAGTCTAATTTACAAGTTGTTGTGAGGACTAAAGAAGATGGATGCTTTAAAGTGTTAGTACGGTGCCTGGCACATAATGAAAGTTTAATAATGCTAGATATTAAAATAGGGATTATTGTGATGGACGATGAGTGGACAGAAATACCAGGTGGAAAAAATGTTGTAAACAAGGCATAGAGGCAGAAAAGCCTAGCACCTGTTCTGTGAGCAGGAAATAGTCTTTGAGACTAAGGTAGGTTGATAGAACTACCTGGAAAGAAAGGACCTGCCTTCCTGTCAGCACATGGCTTTCTGTACTTACAAGACAGGTGATTCCTGCCCTTGGCACCACTTCCTGTGACCTAAAGAGTAGAGAGCGGGGGTTCAGATCTATGACAGGTGCTGCAAATAGCACTCAAGTAGGAGTCTAGAGAACTGATTCCAGCAGGGCTTGGTTTGTCACTAGGGAATTGTGTGACTTTGTCACCTCCCAGCTCTGTTGGTGAGGGAGACAGCTGTCCCTACAACCCCTCATTTTGGTAAATAACATTCACATCTTCTTGTCATTGAGCCCCAGAGCAACCTGGGACCTGGGTGAAGCAGGCAAAGTTCTGTGTTTTCACTTGGAAAATGTTATGATAAGCTGGGCCCCACCTAGGTTCCAGGATGTTTTGAGGATGCATGGGAACTGGTGAACTCAGCCACCTGCTAACTCAAGATATAGACAGATGTCAGTTAGGATTTGCACCCTGCCCCATTATACACATGAGTAAACTGAGTTAGGGGAGATGAAAAGCCTCGTTTCCTGTCACACAGCTAGTAAACGATTGAGAGACAGGATTCTGGAACCAGACTCTTTCCCGTACACCCTATAGCTTCTCCAAACACTCCGGGCCCTTTGCCGCACTTAGGGCTTGGCCCTCCGGGGTTTCAAATTGGAAACTTCAGAAGCCCTCTCACCTTCCACCCTTCAACCCCGTAGACACTACCTCCAGGGGTTTCTAAAAAAAGCGAGCTAGAGGAAGTCGGGGTCGCTGCGGGCACAGTGGGGAGAGGCCCCCAGGCTGGGCTGGGGCATACAGGTGTTCTGCAGGGTCTGGACCCGCCCCGGCAGCACCCACTGCCCTTCCTCAGCCCCCCTGGCACATTGTATGCAAATCGCTGCTTTGCCTGGGCAAGGGGCCAGGAGTCCGGGCCCCGCCGCGGGGGGGCGGGGGGGGCGGGGGGGAGGGGGCGTGGCCAACGGCGCCCGCCCTGCGCCTTGCTGCCCTGCGTGCTCACCTGGGGCAAGTGACAATCCTGGCCCCGCAGAGTGTTGCCGGGCAGGAGAAGCTGAGTGCGCTATCGCAGCGGTGTCCAAGGCGGCGGCAGCGGTTGGGGGCGGGAGGAAGGAGACCCTGGCTTCTCAGGGGGGCCGGCTGGGGCCCACACGAGGAGCCCGCGGGGGCGCCTGTTTTGGCCCCACCTTGGGCAGGATGGTGAATTTGGAACTCATGCACACAGGTGAGGGAGGAGGGAATGAGCTCAGACAGGTGTCACTGCGAAGGAAGGGTCAAAGGACAGGGCCATCATTCTGGGGGGGTCTTATTCCCTGGTGGCCAGGATAGGGCAGCGTGGATAGCTGGTCACCCGGGGGGGCAGTTTTGGGGAGGTTGATGTTGGGAGTACTTTGGAAAAGGTTGAAGGTGGGGGCTATGGGGTTGGGGGGGGCGGGAGGGCTTCTGAAGTCTCCAATTTGAAGAATGGCAGGTGTATGGGACTTGGGTATGCTGAACTGTTGTGTCTCATTGAAGTTGCCTTGTTCAGTGATTGTAGAAGCATGGCTCACTCACTCAGCCAAGGATGTGGACCTGGGAGTGTATAAGTGAGGAAAATACATGTATCCATATGTTATGTGTTTGGTGTCCTGGGCATTTTTGTGAAATAATGACAAAGTGGGCATCTGTAAGGTCTGGACATGGACCGAGGGGAGGGAGGCAGCTAGGAGAAGTGAGCTGGAAAGGACAATCACAGAGGCACACCTGGGGTGGGTTTCATGCCACCATGTATTGATTAGGGCTTGTGGAAGCATGTGTGCATGTGTATCAGAGGTAAGTCTACCTGTCCCCATGTGAATTGGGAGAGGTGGTAGAGCAAACCCTATGGGTGAAGGTGTGCCCACCTATGTGCTCTGTGGGTCTTAGCAATGCTATAGGGCTCAATGCAAGGGATAAAGGAGGGGTGCCTGTGTTTAGGCGCTGGTCAGGAACTCTGGGACCCCTGTGCAGGGGCCTGTAGAACAAGTGCTTCCATATCTGTGTCTAAGAGGGGGTGGTGACAGACTCATTCTTTGTGATCTGTGTCCCATGTATTCAGATACCATGCCCTCCTTTCCTCAGGGGTGGGAACCTAGCAGGTGGAAAAACTTTCCCAGGAGTCAGTTTCCCCTGTGTGCATGGTATGTGGGCACCTGCTGATCCTTCTTTCCACAGCTGGGTCAAGGCAAGAGTTACTATTATTCCTGAAGGATTGGGCTTGGAGTTAGGGTAAGCCTTCTGGAAATCTGAGGACTGGATCAGAGACCAGTCTTATGGTAATAAAGCTAAACTGAATTTGACTGTTTCAAACTAGCAATTTGCCTCTCAAAAGGGAGCAGCACCCAATGACCTTCATTAGGATTTCAGTGCTATTGACAGGAATTTTGTTACCTGTTCTCCTTTATGAAGGAGTAGGGAGGAAATGTGGGGGGAGGCGATTTTTCCAGCCCACCACAAGAAGCAGAGCAGGCCAGAGGCTTTGGTCCTTTCTGGGGCCCACCAATCCTGAAAACAAGCAGCAGTGTGTGGACATGGAGCCCTAGGGTCCACAGTTCTCCAGACACAGGACCTTCCGGGGAGGGCTAGGTGAGGCTAAAGGAACCACCTGGTGTCATTCAACATTTGGAAACAATCTGTCTTCAGACTCTGTGGCACCAACATGGCGCTGGACATACCTGGGAGTACATCCCCTATTGATTCTTTATAAATATCCTTTGTTCACTTCCCACCAAGAAGATCTTCGTTTGAATGGGAGCAAGAATTCAGAAAGGTCGTCCCCAGTGGCAAGTTCTTTAGGGCCAATATTAGAGACTTCCTGGGGTTTTCTTCACCTCATTATGTATGCAAGCTCCTGCTCTGGAGGAAGTGGGAGAAAGTGAGGCAGATGGGACCCAGCAGGGAAGCAGTTTAGAAGCTAAGAGAATCTCAAAGAAAATAGGAAAGACATTGAGGCTGAGGTGAGAGGGCCTAGCTCCTCCCACACCCCCATACCATAGCCTTGGAAGAAGCTACAGGCTGATGCTTCTTAGAAGACCTGACACCTCTCTCTCAAAGGCAGAAACTGAGATAAACCTAAGGTGGGGTGGCTCTTCAGGGTAGGGTCTCCACCCACCTTGAGTATGTTACTTGATTCATCTCTCTGCATTTATTTGTACTCCCCTCCAGCCCACTGCTTTAGTCTGGGTCCCTGTGTGGTGCTTGGTTCCCCTTCAGGAGCACCTCAGAGTGCTCTCTCAATGTGAGACTTTCTGTGGAACCTCTCTAACTAGATCTCCACTTGAAGGTTCTCCTTCCTTGGTTGTCTCAATGGGCCTTTCAGTCCAGGTTGTCTCTGTAGGATCTTTCAGTGTAGGCCCTGTTCTGGGATCTGTGAGGAAGGGTCCTATGGAGTATCTCATTATAGGATCCCCTCTAGCGTCTCTAAATCCAGGTTCCTCTTGGTGGAACTTTGGTCTTTGGGGTCCTATTTTTCCCCTCACAGTAATCCTATAACCTACTGCTTCTTTATAAATATCACTTTAGTGAATTCCAAGTCCCAGGCCCTTGGGGACTCCTCAGTTGATTTGCTGGAACAGTTTAAGAGGTGGAAGGAAAGGAACAGGAACACACAAAGTAAGGTGTAGAGCCCTCCACTAAGATAGGTCCATAAATACTGTGACCCCTGATAACCTGGGTATAAGGCATGGATTAGTTCTGTCTGGGGCCTCAGTAGTTTGTATTTCATAGAGCATCTTTCACATGGGAGGAGGAGCACCTTAGCAGGCATGAGGTCACCGGACATGGGGGTACCCCAGCCGAGTAAGGGCTGCCCTCTCCCAGGTCACGAACAAGTAGACCGGTAGATAAGAATCAAACAAACAGATGGAGAAGGAGAAAAAAGAGAGGAAAACAGTGAAAATCCAGCCAGAGGGTATCACTTGGCTGGCTCCGGGTATCTCTTTTTCTGCCCTTCTCTCTGTGAGGGCTAGGAAAGAAGGATCAAGTCTCACAGACTGATACCAGTTACAGCCCAGGAATACCATTTGAGTTAGAAGGCCTTATGGTGAGAGGAAGTGGATTTCTCTTGTAGAAGAGAACCTCCTATAGGAAAGAGTAGACACCATGGCTGACTTGAAAGTAGAACTGCTGGATCCCTTGAATTCCCTCTGGTGGAAGTGCTCTCATCAGCAGGTCTGTGTGAGGGAGACACCCAGAGGGTGCTCTAGTCCTTTTCAAAGAGATGAAGGTGGACAGTAGGAGAGAGAAAGGTAGGCCCTCTGCTTTCCCCAGAGGTCTAAGACCAGCGTGGACACTCAACCTGCAGCCTGGGGGCAATACTGCCCCTGGACTTTGCTCCTGCAGGCTCACACATGCATCCTGGTTCACAGATGTGTAAAGAGGACCTGCTCCTAGGTCATGCCAAGGCTCAGGGAGGGGCAAGGTCAGCTGCCAACAACTTGTCCCAGCTTTAGAGTGTGGGGACACCAGGGAGGCAGATGAAAGTCTGTGTCTGGTATCTGGGCTCTTACATAGAGCAGCTGAGCCTCCCCAGGGAAGGGAGTGATGGCAAAGAGCCTACTCAGTTGTGACTGAGATAAGAACAGCCAAGAAGCCTGGCCCCACCCTGCACCTTTCTCCCTCACCCCTGTAAGTGCTGTCTGACAGGTGAAGGGTAATGGCATCTTGGGGAGTTTCGGTGTAGGCTGAGACCCAAAAGCTTGTCCCACCCATTAACCTCAGTCTCCTACCCAACAGGAACAGGTTCTTAGTGTCTTAGCATCCTGTGGAACTTAGAGGAAGTTTTACAGATTATCTCAGCCTGCCCCTTATTTCAGGCTCAAATCCCTGTCCACTCCAGAAGTGTCAGTGTTGCTTCCATAATGGCTACATCAAATGAGTAGATGTCCTGGCAGAGTATGGGCCCTTTGACTCCTTCAAAATTATTTTAGACATAATTAAGACTACCTTTTAAGCTCATTGAAAGGATGAATAAGAAGGCTATTGGGTATATTTAAAGGCTATGCAGAAGATGTGTGTTGAAAGAGAGTTTGGCTTATAGGCATAAAGTTATGATTTAGTTAAAAAGTTACCCTTCTTAAATGTCAGGAGTTTGAAATAAGCTGATTCAGAAAATCTGGTCATCATTCTGGCCTTACTGCATCTTGAACTCTTCCTGTTCGCATGAGAATTTTTCCTATGAAGTCCGAATTTGGAGAATGCCAGTGGTTCCTCAGGTAATGGACAAATTATAATAGCACCAAGATAGAAAAGTAAAGGTGTTTGTTGTATTAGTAAAAGGGGACTATTATCAAAACCTAAGTATCTGTTTAGTTAATTTATTTATCACATGCTTACTTTGTGCCAGGCAGTTTCACTTGCTCCTCACAATAAGCCTGGGAAGTATCTTTATTCCTATTTTTTAGTTGAGAAAACTGAGGTTCAAATATGTGACTAGGGTCCCCCAGCTAGTTACCAATGGCACTGGAATTAAATCCAGGTCTGTCTGCCACCAGAACCCATGCTCTCAATCCCAGGCTCTACTGAGGTAGATTTTAAAAATCACCAAAGGGAGAACTCTCCCCCTCACACATCTTCCCAGCAGTCTGATTTTTCTTAGCACTGCTGAAGAATCCATATGAGAAAGTGAGTGCTGAACACATCTGTGTTAAGCCATGTCTAGCTTCAGGGCTAGTACTTAGGGGTGGGATGAAGCAGAGCCAATTTTTCCATTGGCGTGAAGGTGAGCTGCAGCAGAAGCCCTTTGCAGATGTGTCCAGGTGGCCCACACTAGTTAGTCTGCATATTCATGCATGACAGATCATATAGAGAACTTCAAACTGCAGCAGGAAGGACTTAGGCTCAAGAAATGCTTTCCTAAATGTAGTACACTGGAAGATGTAGCAGAGTGTGGTTGCAAGATTTCCCCTAGAGGTCTGTGACCATGCAGGACAGTGGAGGTCTGGGAAGGGCTATTCCAAGTTCCAAGTATCTACCTGAGAGTTGTCACTTTGGCAGGTCTCAGAAACATTTCTCAGACCACAGTGGCTCCCAAGGTTGCTATTTTCCTCCCCTGCTTCTGGGGTATGCTAAGGGCTGGAGAGCCTCTGGACTCTTCATCTCTGTCTTGCTTGGCAGGACAGTAATCCTTCCTATCCTGTAGTCACTACAGCCTCAGAGGCCACAATTTAAATCTCTGCCAGAGCCACACACATTATTGCCCTAAAAAAACAATACGTAGGCTTCTTCCTACTTTCCTTAGAGTGGAGGTCCACCCTTTCCCCTCATCCTGATCATTTCCAGATCTCTGTGTGGCCAAACTGCTAACTGCCTGATTACCTCATGCAAACTAAGACTACCAGTTTAAATGGGATTGGCTGGCAACCAGGTATGTAAAACTGGCTTACCAAGACTTTATCAAGTTTGAAAGAGTTAAAATGCTGCTCTAGAGAAGAGGGTGGGGAGGTGAGGGTCAACATGATTTGTATAAAATAGTTTTCTGTCTTTAAGGCTTCAGTACTTGGGCAGTTGAATAAGGAGGGTAATTGAGAGAATGAGTTACTGGTAGTTCAAAGTTGTCTCTTTCCTTCTCTCTTCTGATTCTGAAGGAGACTTAGGGACCTCTTAGATGATGGCAGCTATCTGTTGTGGTTAAATATCTAGTTTATTGAAATGAAGCAGGGCAGAGAGGCCAAACTCCCAGCACTTGGGAGCTGAGATGGGCCTTGCCTAGGTCTCTCTCTTTCCAAGGCATTGCCCTATCTTCCATCTCTTTTTCACTGAGCATGTTGGAAGTGTAGTAAAGAAGGTAAGTAAGGATCTTCAAAAGAACAGGATCTCCAGGGAGGACTACAGAGGAGCTACAGTGTGATTCCTAGAGAGTGGGCTCAGAAAACAGAGGCAGAAATTGGAGAAGAAATGTGAGAAGGTGAAGCCTCGGTTCAAGGGTAATCTTACCTTCCAGGGGAGGGTTATTATGGGGGGACGGGGAAAGATGGATATTTCTTATGCTACATCAAAAAGTAAAATAAGACTCTGGCCAAGTTGGAGGTGTAGATAGATACACTTTGCTTCCTCACACAACCAAAAGAAGGACAACAAATTGAAAACAAAAATAACCAGAACTACCAGAAAATTGAACTGTATGGAAGTCAGACAACCAAGGAGTTAAAAAAGAAACATTCATTCAGACTGGTAGGAGGGGCAGAGATGGGCAGCCAGAGTGGAAACTATGTGTGGCAAGGCCCTGGCAGCTGGTGGATGAGGGGAAGTGGTTGGCCGACTGGGCAGTCCCACATTCGCATGAGGATAAACCAGGAGGAGCAACTGAGGAGCAAGACAAACTGCACAACTCAGATTTCCAGCATGGGGAAATAAAGCCTCAAAACCTCTGGATGTAAAAACCTGTGGGAATTATGGTGGTGGGAGAAACTCCCAGGCTTACAGGACAGTTCACTGGAGAGAACTACAGTGTCCTAGAACCCATCCACCTGGGAATCAGCACTAAAAGGGCCAAATTTGCTTGTGGGAAGTGGAGAAAGTAACTGAAAGCTGACTGAAAGTCTGCCAAAAGCTGAGCAAGCAGCATTGTTAACCCTCATACAGCACCCTTCTTTAATAACCCTCCTCCATGTACAGTGCCACAACACAGCAATGTGGGTTGCACCACCCTGGCAAATACCTAAGGCTCTGCACCTTAGAATGTAACAGGTGCACCAAGACAAGAAAATATAGCCAAATGAAAGAACAGATCAACACTCCAGAGAAAGAACTAAGCGATGAGGAGATAGCCAACCTATAGGATACAGAGTTCAAATAATTGGTAATCAGAATGCTGACAGAAATGGTTGGGTATGGTCATAAAATAGAGGAAAAAGTAAAGGCTATGCAAAGTGAAGTAAAGAAAAATATGCAGGGGACCACAGCATGAATGGGACTGGGGAGCATTATGCTAAGTGAAATAAGCCAGGCAATGAAAGACAGATACCATATGATTTCACCTATAAGTGGAACCTAATCAACAAAACAAACAAGCAAGCAAAATATAACCAGAGACATTGAAATTAAGAACAAACATACAGTAACCAGAGGGGACGTGGCAGGGGATAATGGGGGGAAAAGGGGGGAAGGGTTTTCAAGATCATCTATGAAGGACACATGGACAAAACCAAAGGAGGGTGGGATTGAGGGTGGGAGGTGGGGATGGCTGGGGTGGGGTGAGTGGTGGGGGGAAAATGGAGACAACTTTACTTGAACAACAATTAAAAAAGTAAAATTAAAAAAATAAAAGAAAAATATACAGGGAACCAACAGTGAAGGGAAAGAAACTGGGAATCAAATCAATTATTTGGAACAGAAGGAAGAAATAAACATTCAAGCAGATCAGAAAGACAAAACATTCAAAAAAATGAGGAGAGACTTAGGAACCTCCGGGACAACTGTAAATGTCCAACATCCAAATCATAGGGGTGCCAGCAGGAGAAGAACAAGAGCAAGAAATTGAAAACTTATTTGAACAAATAATGAAGGAAAACTTCCCCAATCTGCCATAGGAAATAGACTTCCAGGAAATCCTGGGAGCTCAGAGAGTCCCGAAGAAGTTGGACCCAAGGAGGAACACCCAAGACACATCATAATTAAATTACCCAGATCAAACATAAGGAGAAAATCTTAAAAGCAGCAAGAGAAAAGGATACAGTTACCTACAAAGGAATTCCCATAAGACTATCAGCTGATTTCTCAAAAGAAACTTAAGAGACAAGAAGGGGATGGAAAGAAGTATTCAAAGTCATGAAAAGGAACTACAACTAAGATTACTCTATCCAGCAAAGCTATCATTTAAAATGGAAGGGCAGATAAAGTGCTTCCCAGATAAGGTCAAGTTAAAGGAGTTCATCATCACCAAGCTCTTATTATATGAAATGTTAAAGGGACTTATCTATGAAAAAGAAAATGATAAAAAAAATATGAACAGTAAAATGACAACAAACTCACAACTACCAACAACTGAACCTAAAAACAAAAACAAACTAAGCAAACAACTAGAACAGGAAAGGAATCACAGAAATGGGGATCACATGGTTATCAGCAGGGAGGGGGAGAAGGGAGAATGGGGAAAAGGAACAGGGAATACGAAGCACAAATGGTAAGTACAAAATAGACAGGGGAAGGTTAAGAATATTATAGGAAATGGAGAAGCCAAAAAATTTATATGTATGACCCATGGATATGAACTAAGAAGAAGGAGAATGGAGATCACGTGGAGGGTGACATGCAGGGTGGAGAGGGATAAAGGGGAGAAAAAAAAATGGGACAACTGTAATAGTACAATCAATCAAATATATTTTTTAAAAAAGAAAACAAACCCTCACATATGCTGTCTACAAGTTACTTCAGATAGAAAGACACACACAGACTGAAAGTAAAGGAATGGAAAAAGACATTTCATGAAAATGGTATTCTTTTTTAAAAGCTGGGATAGCAATACTTTTGCCAGACAAAATAGACTTTCAAACAAAGCCTATAACAATAGTCACAGAAGGACCCAACATTATACTTCTGGGTACTTATCTGAAGAAACCCAAAACACTAAATGGAAAAGTCATCCACATGTTCATTACAGTATTATGTACTGTATATAATACTCTATAATGTACTCTATATTTACAATAGCCAAGATAGGGAAGCAACCTAAATGTCCATCAATAGGTGAATGGATAAAGAAGCAGTGCCTATATATAATGGAATATGACTCAGCCATAAAAAAGAATGAAATCTTGCCATCTATAACAACGTCAATGTCCATAGTGGGTATTGTGCAGAGTGAAATAAATTAGACAAAGACAAATACTATGTGATTTCACTTATGTGTGGAATCTGAAAAATAAAATAAGCAAATAACTCAAACAGAAATGGACTCATAGATACAGAGAACAATTTTGACAGTTGCCAGATGGGAGGGGAGTTGAGGAGATAAGTAAAAAAGGTGAAGGTATTAAGAAGTACAGATTGGTAGCTGCAGAATAGTCATGGGGATGTATCATAGACAGCACCATAGGGGATATAGTCGATAATACTGTAAAAACTATATATAGTGTCAGATGGGTACTAGATTTATCAGGTGATCACTTTGTAAGTTATATAACTGTTTAATCACTATGTTGTACACCTGAAACTAATATAATATTGTAAGTCAACTGTACTGAAAAATAAAAATTATTAATGATGGAAAAAATAATTAAAATAAATTCCCCAAATCCAGAATGACATGAGGATTAAGAATGGGTCTTAATCCCATTCTTTCCCACCTCCACTATACCCCTCCCTTGTTAAATTTTTACCAACAGTGCCTGGTAATAGAAGGAAATGGTGATACATGATGCAAAAAGTGAGAGACCTTGTAGTAGCATGGGATAAAGGAAAAAGAAAGGCAAGGGAAAGGAGCCAAGCATGGGAGGAGGGGATATGTGCCCAGAGTTTATGAATATTCTAATAGTTGGGTGTTCAAGAGTCAGGAATTTGAAAGCCTGGTGGTTGTTGTAATTACACATTCATCTTTGCTATTAAAGCCAAATATATCATAGCAAGGAAAATTGTGACCTGTTATTAAAATCAGTTGTGTTTTCCCTGTAGATATCAAGATGAGTGGGGATGTAGCAGATTCCACAGATGTTCGTAGTGCTCTCAGCCAAGTGGAGACAGGTAAGGGTCTTTTCTTCTGTGGAAGGGTACAGGAAAACAGCTGGTGGGAAAGAGCTGTTAAAAATCTTTAAACCATGTGGTATCTCTTCCTTTATCTTTTAGCCAATTAGATGCAAAAGTTGGGTCCTAGGAAATGAAGGACTTCTCTGGAGACATGGGATATGACACTGCAACCTTTGAATAGTACATACTGGTCTACAGTGGAACAAAACTTCTGAAACTAGACTAGAAAAGGGCCATATTCTTAGAAACAAAACAGAACAATTAGGGAGAAGTTTCACTTTTTGAGGCACAACTCCAACACCCCTAAAAGTGGCAGGCTGTGTTCCCAACTGCTACTGACTGACAGAAGGCAGAACTTGTCTAGTAGATGGGAACCACAGCATTTTAACCCCAGATTTCTCAATAGTCCTAATCATGGAACTAACCAAAGATACCCTGTGCAAGTGTTCCTCTTCTAAATTATGTGTGTGTGGGTGGTAAATAGACTTAGAGAGAAAGGGTTGGTGGCTGAAGGTGACTTTGCTTTATGAAGAAGAAAAGAAGACAGGGAAGAATTGAGAAGAAAGTTTCATACCTGTCTGCTTTTAACTTTATAGTGCAAGCCTTGGTTTGAAAACTCTATATAATTAAAAATAACTTAGAGAAAGATGAGTATAAATTGTAACACCACCAAATACCTTTAAAAGCATCCCAGTAAGGTCTCAATTAGTCTTTTATCTGGATCATGGGAGATGTAGAAATTAGAAGTAGAAGAAAATCAAAGTCCCTCAGAGCTAAAATCTTTTTCTAGGTCTTCAGATACAGCCTAGTTCCACTCTTGAAACTAAAAGGCTTGGGATAAGGTACAAAAATAATTGGGGCCTTAGGGAGTGGGGCACCTGCAAGATGCATTTACCATAATTTTTTCCATCCCCAATCTAATATTCAAACAGCATCTATTTGCATAGGTAGAGCTACAGGCTTCATAATTTGCTTCATGTATATGGACAGCTGAACTAGAAGAATATGGGTCAGTTGTATTCATTTTGCTGTTGAATTATTATCAGAGTATATTTTCCTAAGGTTCTGTGGGATGGGATACCTGTTCCTCTTAGTTGAGAAAAAAATTCTCTCCAATCTCAAAAACTCCAGTCCAGCTGGAGACTGATAGGCAGGCATAGTCTAGGCTCTGACACTCTATTCTAGGGAAAAAAAACCAAGCCTAGAAACCAGGATTCAGGAGAAGTTGGATCACCCCTTACTGGCAGGCTGGAACCAACTCTGTTCACTTGGGCAGGTTATATTGCCCCAGGTACATGGGGACACGGCTAAGAGAATATTAATGTGGGCAGAAGACCACACTTAGCAGGCTGGAACCCATGCTCTGTTATTAGTTACGTGACCAAGTTATGTTGGGGTAAGAAGGAGCTACACAGAACCCCGAAAGGTGAACCAGGAGAGGGAGGGAGTTCAGATCCTAGGTTGGGTTAGAAAGGTTAAATTATTATTGACAGTTTAAGTAAGTTCTGACCTCCTATCTGGGACTGTGGGAACTATGTACAGACTAGGTTCTAAGGAGAAATAATCCAGATATAAACTGGGACTTTTGGAATTTGACTATCATCCCAGGATTACTGCCAATTCAATATGTGACCTTAGACCAGCCAATTTGCCTCCTTAGAAGGCAGGAAGAGATGACCTTTGAAGATTAGATTTAGAATCAAACAGACCTGGGATAAAAATCACAGACCTGCTGCTTACTGGTTGCATGATCTGCAAAGTTAATTTAGCCTTGTCTCTTCTGTAAAGGGGAACAATTTATGCACACCTTTGGGAATGGGTTGAGAGTTAGCTGAGATTATGTTTAAAGGCCTTAGCACAGTGACAGCTGTGATCATCATTACCTCTAATGGCATCATTAGGATTCTGTGATTCTGTAGTATACAGAATGATCATCACTGCTTAGTGCTTTGGGGCTGCAGGTAGCTGGGGTGCTCTTCTCCCCTTCATTCAGGCCCAGTGACTCAGCCCCACAGGTTGATTTTTCTCCTTTCACTATTCAGTAAATGATTCTGTATGCCCCCTAAACTCCATGGAGAAGGTGAAGTCCATGTTGTCTGTAACTTCTCCAACCCTAGTCTTTCACTTACAGGACTCAGCTCTGTGGCTAGTAGCATCCATACTTAGGTGATTGCCAAATCACTGCATGTTTTTAAGGGCAAGAAAAAAGAGGTAGCAAATTAAAGTAACCAAACTTCCTGAAAAGTCATTCTTACTCATTTTTTAAAGAGGAGAGCTTATTGTGAGTCACAGTGGTTACCAACTTGGTTTTATGGCTTTCTTTGGATTTTTAAAAGGCAGATTCCCCTTCCCAGCAGCTCATGAATTAAGGGGTTTGTGTCTGGGTTTAAAGAAACTATAAACAAAGATGACCTAGAAAGCCCCAGCTCCCTGAGAGCACCCTCTGTGTTATGTAAAATCCCCAAAAGGCACAAGTTGAGGGGGAGCTGGGAAAGGAGGTGACTTTTCCCATCCACACTGGCCCAGACTGCAAAGGAGAGCATTTTGAGATGCAGACATAGATCTCCTGGTTGATAGACACCTGGCAGGGCAGGTCGGTCTTTTTTTCCCTTTCTTTCTGCATATCCTTTAGTTAAAGCATAGTTGGAGGAAAAACTGCTCAAGGCCTCAGAGTATGACAGCGCTAGGGACCAGAGGAGGCTCCCAATCCCCTGTCCAGTGCTCTTTCTACACCCTTCAGAGGACTGAAGCTAAGCTGTTTCTAGATATCTATACTATTAGCTTTTCTGTCAATTCCTTTTACCTGCTACCTACTGTTACTTTTACTTCATTTTGTAGTCTGACAGCATTTTTTTGTTGTTGTTGTCAATTGAGTGGTTGATAAGAATATACCCAACACACATTTCAAAAGCCCCCAGATATGTAACTGACAACCCCCAAATACCTATGCAGCTAACCCTATGACTTTTGACCACACTGGTCTCAGCATAGCCTCAAACTCAGAGTTGGACAAATCTGGTAGGCTCAGGAGAAAGGAGGGAAAGAACATTTACATTCACGGAGTCACCTCTCCATACCTGGGCACATGTATATGTACCCAAAACTTTACATACATCATCTCATTTTTTATTCTTACAATTCCCATTTTTACCCATAAGGAAATTAGGACTCAGAATGAGAAACTAACTTGCCCAGGGTCACACAGCTTTAAACTCCAGGCTCTGCCATGATCTCCCTGCAGACTATTGGGCAAGTGTTTTCTCACCTGCACCTTTATTTTTCTCCTTATAAAGAAGGGGTTTGTATAATCTCTAAGGGCTGAATTTTAAAAGGTATGTACATGGTTCCACTTTTCCAAATTCTCTCCCATCAGTTTCCACACTCTGCATTTATAAGTAGGCTTTCTCAGTGTCGAATTCTCCTTCTCCACCTTACCCCCCTCAGCCCCTCACATTTCCTTCTTTCCAGCTTTCCTTTCAGCATTCTCTCATCTGACACCTCCAGCTGCCATGCTGTGTTCTGTCTCTAGTCCTCTTCTCTGACCTGGCTGGTAGTCCCCTAATCAACATTTGTAGAGCACATTTGGGTCAGACCTTGGGCCCAGAAAGATGAAGAATCAACCCTGTCCTCACAGGGCCTTTCTCTTAGTGCAGGAATCCCACGGTGGAGTGGATAATGGTACCTACTTGTGTCTGGAAGAATACACCCAAACACAATGCATTTAGCCTTCACATTAATTTTGTGAGGGTAGGTGTTGTATCCCACTTTGCAGATGAGGAAGGTGAGGATGGTGATGAAAAAGAATATTAGCTGATTTCCCCAATATTACATACCTTGTAAATGACAAAACTAAACCTGGGTCTTTCTAGTAGCTTTCTATTCAAAGATGGTGGTGGAAAGACGGGACCAACCTGGGGAACCAGAGACAGAGGATACAAGAGAGTGGCAGCAGCAGGGGAGATGACAAGATTATGGATGGTGGCACTGATGATAGGAGTTATAGGGGAACCAAATGCCTGGAAGGTGGAGTGGTGTAGTTCAGGAGGCAGAGCCCTATCTGGGGCCATTATACTTGTTTGGGAAGAGAGAAAGGGCTGGGGTCATGTCATTCCCTTAGAGAGTGAGAATCTAACCCCTGAGAGGACTTTCTCCTCATCTCTTATCCCGAAACAGCCTCACCAATACACCAGCTCCTTTCCCACCTTGCCACCCCATTTGACAAGGAATTTGAGGTGGGGTTGCAAACCCAGATGACAATGGAGAAAATGCCTTAGCACCCTTGTCCTACTCAGAGATCTGTGACTGTATGAGGATAACCCAGAGGAAGAAAAGGAGAGCTAGAAATAAGGGAGAACAGGGCTTTGTCAGTTGCCTCTTCCTGTTGCCCCTCTTCTTCAGCTTCCATTGTCCTGTCTGTGTGGTAGAAGGACTAACACCTGTCCACCCTTGGTGCTAGAAGGACCACCAAGGCAAGATAGCTGTTTGGGGAACCTGTGCAGAAAGTCTCCCCACTTAACCCTGAGAGCTTTCAACATGGTTTTAAGAAGGAATAGGCATGATTGTATAAGGGATCCCAGGAGGTTCGTGATCTTCATAAGATCCCAGAGAAAGAATGAGTATCTGACCCAAGACTAGAAATTCCTTCTCAGTCTTTGCATTCCCAGGGCCTCCCTATCTCCACCTGTACTCAGTCCCCAAGACAAGAAGTTGAGGATAAAGAAAATATGTCTCATCATGACCCAGAGGCAAAGATTCAGGCAGAAACAAGCAGAAGCCTTTAGAGATGAGTGTGGTTTTTCAATACAAATACTTATTGAATAAAACTATCCTTTCAAGTGCAGAGAAGACAGAAGAAATCTAGGAAGTGCTTGCGGTGAGGGAAGAGTTGGAGGGAAGTGCAGAAGAATATCCTATTGACAGCCCTTTCTAAGTGAGGCACGTGTGTACATACACATGCACACCCTCCAGTTTATGATTAAAAGAGTGGGTGTGAAAGT